CCCCAAAACCCCAAAACCCCAAAACCCCAACAAGATTTAATTATATTGGTGCTAATCAATGGAGAGTATGTCAAATCCTGTCTCAGAGAAGATTGCCCAGGCTTTAAGTTAGACTTTATGGCTGAACCATCCTTGATGCAATAATACTCAGAGTTGCTAATAAATAGAAATAAAAGCTTTAAGTGCTATAATTTATCCTATTCTTTCAGTCCTCGAGTTTCGAAATTGTCTTAAAGGTAGTGTCAAAGACGATGCTCACTTGGTACCAAAGATTCTAAAATAAATGAAAACTAGTGCCTCGTCTTTAGGTTTCCTGCAGGAAGTGCGAGTATTACTACTGGAATGAAGGCATCTTCCGTTATTACTCATTTTTGCAAATATTGTATCTTTCAGGTGTATTTTAAGCTAGTGCAGAGAATCTTTATTATGAATAACTCTTCAGCAGAATTCTGACAGACTTATTTTCTTCAAAATAAGACTCAATGGAAGTACCTTATGTCCCTTAGGTTTGGTTTTGAATATTGTGAGAACATCCTGATAAATTCTCTCATTCTTATAAACATTTACCTTAACAAATCTCCTCTAAGTCGACAGTTTAGAGAAATCAATACTGGCTAAGAGCAACAAGGAAGGCTAAAAGAGTTTTTACTACAATATTTATTCTGAAAAATTACAGCAAAACCATTGGCTGCTTAACATAAAGAAGACTTTCAATATGAGCATTTATTGTTCATATTATCAATGAAGGAACTTCGAGCTTTGTCGGGAACTGAGGAAACTAAAGTTGAACTATATCTATCTTATCAACTTAGCTTAAAGATATGACACAAATAAGGATTCTTTTGATTTCTCAGAGTTTAGACTTCCTGATAAAATAAATAGTTTCAGATTCTCTAGATTAACCATGACGAAGAAACATAGCTCGAAGCTTTTAATCAAGCTCATAAGGCACAGCTCTCAAAGGCTGCAAGAATTCGGATTCTGTAATTTCTGATTGAGTCTTCGCCAATTAAAGAGATTCATTTCTCTTTCAGATATGTAAAGCCAGTTAAATTAATAAGCTGTAAGCTGTCCATTCCTGATTTGTCAAAATCCATCAGAAGCACAAAGATAGAGAAACTGGATTTGTTCTGACCAGGAAACAAGAGTGTCAGTGATTGGAAGAACAATATCGATAAATTCAGAAATCTAATCAAGGGCTGGCCACTTCTCGATATCTAAGATTAACCTTCGAAGAAATAGATATCAAGCTATGTGAGATAGAGATTTTATAGTTTAAGAGATTCTAGCAGGTAATGGGTTCGATCATGTAGAAGTCATAAGTTTTTAAGTTTGAATAAGCCTTTAGTTCATGCCTCTTTCCAATAAGAATTACCCAGAACTTCTCCTTCGAGGATTAAAACATTATTAAGCTATTGTGAGGGGTCCAAGAATGGGCATTTGTCATAGAATGTTCATAGTGTTTATAAAAGGTTTTATTCATGCAAAAGAGTTGCTCCTTCAGTTTTGATATAGTTAACAAAATGTATATCTTTCAACTACATTTCAAAGCTCAGAAACCCCTCATTAATTTGTTGTCTAGCTGTTTATCCTAAAGTCTTTAGATATTCAGTAATAGACCATTCACAGAGTCTCGCTCCCACTTATTTCTCAGGGATAATTTTCCTTCTTCCTCTCCTCAGTATCAAATACAGCTAAAAACTCCAAAATTCAACCAAAAGAGCGACTACTGGGGTTTTGGGGTTTTGGGGTTTTGGGG